GAAGGGGAAAGATAGAAGAAAGCCAACACAATAAAAGTATTATACTACGTATTAAAAAGATAGAAAACATATTCCCAACCTACATATGAAACTCAAATGAATAAAACTAATCTATCGGGTAATTGTTTTTTACCCCGAAAATATAAAGAGTTTTATTTTACCACAAAAAAAAAAAATTAAAATTGTTTTTACTACCTGTAATCAAAACCCTAATGAAATTTTTTAAATTCTTTGATTTTCGTGTCAAACACATGGTCTTTAGGGGATTTGGGGGACATTTTAGTTCTTTAGGACCAATTTAAGGTCAAAATTAGGATCCACTTAAAATTTTCGGATCCACCTAGGAAGATCCGAAAATTTTAGGCAGATCCCGTTGGTATGCTTTTTTGATAGAGGTGATCATTTACGGGCTTTGGCGGGTAGCGGTCCGGGCTTATGCTTATTTTTTTTTTCTCCAACGGGCTTTATGTAGCAAACCCGAACCCTTTTATGCAGGCTTGATACTTTGTCCATGCCCGCTTACTAAACGGGCTGGGCTTGTCCGTGGGCTAATGGGCCTTAAATTTTTGTTATATTTTTTATAATTCTAATTATTATTTTTATTATTTTCTAGTGCTAAAATTATTTGGTAGAGTTGTCTTTAAAAAATTTTGTTCACAAATAATAATAGAAATTTAAAAAAAAAAGTTGAAATTATGACATACTTCGTATGTTATAAATATATGAAAGAAAAACTTATTTAGTACAATGTTAATTATAAAATATAAAAGTAAAATAAATATTTATAACTAATAAAAGCTTATAGATCAATATAGTCTCTAATTTGTATTTATTTTCTAAAATACACAAAATATGTCATAATTGTAACTAACTAAATAAAATTATTAAAATATTATTATTATTTTACTAAACGGGCCGGGCGGGCTAGCCCGTAATACATAATTTCTCGTCCATACCCGCCCATTTATATTAACGAGCCGGGCTAAGCCCGCCCAAATGTCCAATTTTTTTCAAAAAGGTTATCCAAGCCCGCACTTTTTGCGGGCCGAATTGGGCGGGCTTGGCGGGCCATCCCGCCCATGAACAGCTCTATTTTTCGACCCCCCTAATTCATTCGTACCGCTAATAATCAACCACCGAAAATATATTTTGGCACCTTCCATCACCCCCGGTAGTCCGGTACCCCTAATCAACCCTCGGAAATATATTCCGGTTTCCGTACTCAACCCCTAGAAACATATTCCAGCCACTGCCACTCTCAGCCTCTGTACCGACTCCTCTTGTTTCCGTCCTGCGGTAGACATTTACTGCCATTCAAAAGTGCCGACTGGTGCGTATTTGTGACTCCTCTCTCATTCTTTCCTTTTTGCACTTTTTTCCCCCAAATTGCTTGTTACTTGTGATTTTTACAATATTTTTTTCCATATTGCTCTAGTAGTTATATTTACAAATTTTTTAAATTTGGGGCCAAATTTCAGTGATGCTAGGGTTTCTACTAATCCTGGGCACCGTGCCGTGCCGGGCCGCCGCGGGCCGTGCCTGGCGGGCCACGGGCTGGTTCGTGCCGTGCCGGTCGTGCCGGCGGGCCCAGGATTTCGTGTCGTGCCGTGCCGGCCATTTTCACAGGCCAGCCCACGGCACGGCACGGCCCTCGTGCCTGGCGGGCTCGTGCTGTGCCGGCCACGTGCCGGCCTGGTGCAGTTTTCATTTTTTTTTTTTTTTTTTTTTTTAATGACAACATTATAAATTAATAAGTTTATAATGTATATAAGTTATAAAATTATAATTATAAGTTTTATAAGGTAACTTATAAGTTTATAACTTATAAGTTATTAAGTTATGAATTTTATAATTATAAGTTGAATATTTATGTTTTATAATTTGTATATTCAATATTTATATTTATATATTTACTTTATACTATTACTTTAAAATTTAATGTTTATGATTTATTAGTAATTGGTATAATTTTATTTTTTTTAATATGAATTTACAAATTGTAACAAAACGGGGAAAAAAGGCAAATTGGACTTTGGATGTGAATAATGCGTACTTTATATTATTATTACTTGAGTTGAGAAAATTGTACAATGATAACAATGATAAAAATCATACAATGATGGTATTAAACAAAAATTGGAAAATGATAAAATTGATATTTTTAAAATCGTACAATATACAATAATTGTCTATTCTTCTTCTCCTTCTTCTTGCTCGTCTTCGTCTTCGTCTTCGTCTTCGTCTTCGTCTTCGCCTTCGCCTTCAAGGTCATCGGCTAGTTGCATAGATTGGGAACTAGCCGAACCCGAACCGGAAGCGGAGGTTCCTTCTTCGTTGTCGTTGTGGTCGTAAGAACGGTCTTGTGAGCGTTAATCATCAATATATTTCTGATTATATTTCGTATTCAAGCTCGGTTATATGTTTCTGATTATATTTCTTAATTTAAAGATCAATTTTATGATCAACATATCTCTGATTAATTTTTTTTTTAATAGCTATCTCTCATTAATATGTGTAAGTGGAAAAACCGAAAAGCAAACTAAAAAAAATATGAAATGGCACCGGTTAACCGGTGCCAATTGACTTTGATACAAAAAAAATAAAAAATAAATAAAAAAAAATGAAAAATTGGAATAGTTATGACACCGATTAACCGGTGCCAAAAATCAATTATAGCACCGGTTCAAAACCGGTGGCATTTATGGGATGAATTGGCACCCCCCAAATTGTCAACGGTTCAAAACCGGTGCCTTAGGGGGGTTTTGAACCGGTACCAAACTAAGTTTTTCTACTAGTGTAACCATCACCAGTTCACCACCTTGACCGGCGATGACAACCGCCACCACTCTAATTGGCTACCCACCACATCCTCTTTAATAGACTCATCACCTTTTCTCGCCGGTTGGAGGTGGTGGTTTTTTTTTTATATAATTTTCGACAACAACACCAACCGAAGCCCAAAACCGGTCGCCGCGCACTATAACCGGTCCGGTAACCGGTTTTGGGCTCTGGTTACCGTGGTAACTAGAGCTGGAAACAGGTTCCTGTGGTTGTCAGAAATTTAAAAAACCACCATCTTCTCGCCTGCGAGGGAAAGTGGTGGGTTGTTAATGAGGGGGATCGAGGGGGATCGATGTGGTGGGTCGTCGGTCAGGATGGTGGTAGTTGTCGCCAATAGGGGAGGTAGCAAGGTTGTTCACAAACTTGCTCATGTGCATCCTTGAATTATGCGTTAAGATGAATATGGCTGGATCAGTTTCCTTATTCCATCTTTAATTTGAATTATAATGACTTACATTAAAGTAATACGTATGTAAATCATTTCAGCCGAGGATTTTGTTTCAAAAAACAGGGGTCTTTCACTGCGGCAGGCGACATCTTATGTAGGGGTGTTCAAATCCGGGTACCCGAATTTTCGGGTAGTGAGAAATTCGGCCCATATCCCGACCCGAGAAAGTCGGGTACCCTGGTTTCGGGTACCCGATTTTCTCGGGTCGGGTCATAGGGTACCCGAAAAAATTTAACTCATCTCAATGAATTTTGTTTTTTAAACAATTTCAATGAAATAATGAATATGTTTGTATGTGTACTGTATAGAGTAAAAATTAATTAAATTCAATAAATTACTTTGCTACTGTAGACCTGTAGTACTGTACAAACACAAAAAACTTCATGAACATAATTGGAGTACTTGTTCAACTATTAATTACTAAATAAAATACAATACGTCATATTTTTAAACAAATCTAACTACAAACTTAAACAAACAAAAAGAAATTAATAAAATACAAAGCAACTGAATTTTACAGTTTATAGAATATTATTTTCTTAAAAAAAAAAAAAGTAAAATTTACACAAAATCTATAGACAACCAAAAATCCCACAAATGGAGAACCCGAATTGGTAGATCTTAGAGATCAAAACCCCATATTCCTGGACAAAAACACCAAGCAACTAACCGTAATGCCGCCTAGTGTAGTAGTGTTGCTGCTTTCGCTTTTGCCGCGACTCACAGTGTGTGAAAGAAAGTTTGTAGAGAGGGAGAAATATGGTTTGTAGAGAATGAATGAGATTTAGAGGAGAGAGAAAGCATTATAGAGTGAATTGTTATTGATGGGAATGACGGCTATAGTATTGTAGGGAATAACAAGGTTAAAAACCCTAGCCCTTTACATTATACGCACAGTAATATCCTTTTTTTAAGAAAAAGCTTACGGGTCAGAGGGTACCCGACATCCTCACATGCTGGCCCATGACCCAACCCGAAAATCTGCTAATTATCCGTGTCGGGTACCCGACCCGTCAATTTCAAAAAAAAAAATACCCGATTAAATTAAGTCGGGTCGTCGGGTCATCGGGTCGGGTATTTTTGAACACCCCTAATCTTATGGCAGGGATTATTTGTAATGGTTACTGGTTTTGTCAGAGGTTACTTGTATGGTTACTCATTCAGGGCAGAGTTACTTGTATTTTTTTTTTCCAGGGGTTACTTGTATATGGATTACTTATTCAGGGGTTACTTGTAGGGGTTACTTACTTAGTCTCTTAGTGTGATTCCTGTGTGAGAGTAATCTCTGACGGACCGAGTAACTCTCGAATAAATAACCCCTATAATTTACCATACCCTTGACAAAATAATTAACCCCTAACCAAACAAGTAATCCAAGAATAAGTAATCCATGACCAAACGAATAACCCCATACAAGTAACCCCTAACCGAATAAGTAACACAAGAATAAGTAATTTCTGACCGAACAAGTAACCCTGAACGAACGAGTAACCCTCAACAAATAACCCCAAACCAAACCCCCATACCAAACCAGTAATATCTTACAAGTAACCCCTGACCAAAACCAGTAACACACTACAAGTAACCCATGACCAAACCAGTAACACCCTACAAGTTACCTTGTCACACCATGTGGCCAGCCGCATATAAATATTTAACGATCAAGTTGTGTGAGTGTCAGCAAGCCTGGAAATCAACATATATAGTGCAGTAATATCTGTGAAATGAATTAGTATATAATAGAAAAAATGCAATTTATCCAAATTAAACTACACTTTTTAGCTAAAATCGAAATTCCAAATTAAACAAGTTTTACAAAGAATGAATGAAAATCAAAATACTAAAAATCCCCAACAACTCAAAACAACCCTTGTTATTCCTTTCACCCTTAGAGATAAGTTTCATTCCCATATTGTCCTTCCCCTTAAGTAGGCGACCTTGATCGTTGACTTTAAAGTCAACACCCACCACCAAATGGTGTCTTTTAGTCTTCCAAATCATGTTCTTGTACCTCACCTTAGTTGCTAGCTCCACCCTAAACACCAAGGGCACGGTAGCATTTTCCCATCGTACCCCTCTAGTCACAATATTAATATCCCCAACGCGATGAGTAGCCTTTTGATGACCTTGGTAGAAAGAGCTAATAGTGGCATTTCCAATAAACATGTTCAAATTAGGTTTGTAATTAAAGGAAAGGTCTAGGGCATCATAGTAAATTCCCTTATTAAAATTATTTTTGTTGTTTTGGAGCTTGAGATCATATTGGAAAATATTTTTGTAACGAGAGAAATTATTGGTAACTCTGTGAAGGGCAAAAAGGTCAAATTCTTCAATGGATAAAGTGGGGCTTACGGTTTTAAATAGGAGAAGCCAAATTGTTATAGAGATTAAGGCTATTGCAAAGCAGTTGGATGCGCAATTGATGCAGGCCTTACAACTTTTTTTTTTTCTTGTGGAGGCATTATTGGTTTTAATTTAGGAAAGGAGAGTGAAGGGAAATAATAAAGGAGATGAGTTCAATTTTGTTTGGATGGTAGTTATTTGTATATAAATTGTCAACGTGAATTTCTTTTTATAATTAATTTATGACAAATGATGGGGTAGTACCATAGTAGTGATCAAGGGGTTGATGATACCAATCATAGCATGTAGTGCACAACAATGATTACGGATGCACAACAATGATTATGTACGGTGAATGAATTATTCTAGAATTTTCTAATATGTGAAAGTCCATCTTGTTATGTACTCATACAATAATATTTTACAAATATTAATATTTTACAATTTTACTAATACTCCACCCTAAAAAAAATATATAAAACTTCGCCCCCCATTTCATTAGAATTACAACATAAGTTGTTGCACAATTATAGGGTGATGAGTTGTCGAGTTGATGACCAATAGCTGAATTTTATTATAAAATAAAGTATAGCGAAAATGACTTTTAGTAACTGACATAATTAGTTGCTATAGCCCTCGTTACTAGTTGCTGTAGCCACATACGTATACATAGTAACATACATGATGCATGCGTATAATACAAAAATTTGACTTGTGAAGGAATAAGAAAAAATTTAAATTACCCAAAATACGTGTACTACTCTAGAGCTAAAATAAAAAATGCAAATTATCCAAGTAATACAAAGAATGAATGAAAATCAAAATACTCAAAAGACCCACCACTTCTAAACGGCCCTTGTTATTCTTTTCACCTTTAGAGCTAATAAGTTTAATTCCCTTATTGTCCTTTCCCTTAACTAGACTACCTTGCTCATTGACTTCCAAGTCAACTCCCATTGCCAGATGATGTCTTTTGGTCTTCCAAAACATGCTCTTGTACCTCACCGCGGTCGCTAGCTCCAGCCTAAACACCGCGGGCACGGTATGATTTTCCCATCTTACCCCTCTAGGCACAATATCCCCAACACGGTGGGTAGCCTTTCCATGGCCTTGGTAGAAAGGGGCAAAAGAGACATTTCCAATCAAAACGCCGTTAAAATTGGGTTTGTAATAAAAGGTAAGATCGAGGGTATCGTAATAAATTCCCTTATTGACATTTGAACCCTTGTTTTTGAGTTTCAAGTCGTAGTGAATAGTGTTGTTGTTACGAGTGGTATTATTGGTAACTCCCTCGAGGGCAAATGCGTCAAATTGCTCAATGGATAAAGTGGGGGTAGAGGTTTTAAATTGGAAAAGCCAGATTAATATAGCGGTTATGGCTAATGAAACGCAGCTGCCACAGCAACCTTTGCCTTGTTTTTCTGCATTATTGGTTGAAGACATTGGTTTTTAGGCTAAGGTTGTTTATGAGAGAGAATGAGGAAAGGAATGGGTTCAATTTTGTTTGGATAATAGTTGTATAATATTGTGAGGTGACTTGCTTTAATAAAATCAAAAATTGATCCTTTCAAAAAAAAAAAAAATCAAAAATTGATAGAAAATGGGGTGAGTGATACCAACCATCGCATCTAGTGCACAATTGCACATGGCCATAATTGTACGAATTAGCATATTTCTATTGACCATTACACATGATTAGGAGTTTAGGACCCGCCACAAACGACCCAAGTTTGTACGACCAAACGCTAAGGTAAACTACCATTCAATTGTACTTGTTTCGTTCTTTTTTACTTGACATACATGTTTCATTTATCATATTTGACAATGCATATATATAATTTTAATTATTAATAATTTTATTTCTCATTAAGTTTAAGTAAAATTTATAAAAGTTACAAGTATATATTATGATAATAATTATTAAGACGAATATGTTTTTTTTACAAATAATTCACAAAAGACAATCAAGAGAAGAGTGATGAATAGTGTAAAATTTAAAGCGGACCAAACAAGAAGAACAGAGAAAGTATATTATGTAAATGACATAATCGATACTATTATTGTAGAATAATTTTACTAGGCAGATGATAGGCGTAGTAAATGTAGTCACAAAACCTTTTAATGTGGAAACAAAGGTACCCTTCAAAGAACGAAATTATCACCCTTTTTGTTTTTTTTTTAGTATTTAGAGAGTCACAAGGGTGGAGGTGATAATTGATCCTAGAATTTTCTAAAATCGGAAGAGAAACTTTAACCACTTGAGTCATCCCTCACTCTCATTGTCACTTTAGTTCTTGAATCTTGATATCCTTGGCTTTAATTGATTTGCATCTAGATTCTAGACAAGAGTTTTTATGTTGTATTACTTGGCTTATTAAAAAAGACGCATGTTACAATCTTGCCTCTATCGTCCGTTTTATTGTCAAGTAAATAAGCCCAGTGATTTACCATATTGCCCTTCAAGTTGTGGGTTTTATATGGTGTAGGTGATCAGTTGGGCTTGTCTTTGAATTCAATGGATATAAAACATCTGACCCACTTCATAGTTCTGATATGAAATTTTCACATTGTAATATATACATAGTACTGTAGTATTTTTTTTTTGAATCCAATAAATAAATAAATAAATAACATCTGACTTTAGTCAAAGGTTAGAGAGTTGATACAATAAAAAGAGTCTTCGTTTTGGTTTTTTGTTTTTCCGGCCTAGCATCGCGCACCGCTTCCCCTTTTCGGCCGCTCCAGTTTCTCACCGGCCTTGCTGCCGGCTTGCCGCCGGTTTTCGTTGCCGCTTCCCCGCCGTGGCTTTGCCCCTCCGTTGAGTCCGTCGTTGCGTCGTTGTTTTCGAGAACGGGGAGGGAGATCCCTCTGAGTCCCTCGCATAGGAACGTTCTTAGTCCCTCGCGTAGGGTCGTCGCTGCCGCGGTTCAGTGGTGTGGGGGGTATGGGCTTCTCGGGCGGGCATTGGTGGTTCGGGTTTTATTGTCAGGCGGCATGTGGATTGGGTTGGTGAACCTCAGAGCTTTGGTGGTTGTGCTCGGAGTGGCGGCGGGGTGGGTTGTTAGGGTTTTGTTAGTTGTCTTAGTTTTTAAGTTTTTCCCTGTTTTTTCTTTCAGGAGTCTTTGTGTGCTTTTTAGTTTTGTTATTTTTTCTGTCTGTGTGGTGTGGCTGGGTGATATGGGGCATGCAGATCGGTGTACCGATCTTCTGGTGCAGGATTTAAGCCGGGTTTTTTGGCTATGGGGCCTCGGTTGGATCTTCTGTTGGTTTGGACTAAAGGGTTATGCTTCCATGCCGATATCCGTGTTTGAATCGGAGATTGCCTTGTCTATGGTGAAGTGTACGACACCAATTTTGATTTCAGGTCAAGGAGTATGGGATTCTGAGTCAATGAAGGTTCACGTCAGAAACTACAACATATTGCCAGACCCCCTTGCAAGAGGCTGCATAGGACAGCGTTATATGAGCCAAGGGTACTTAAGAAAGTCATTTTGCGAGTGCAATTGTAGTTTCCTCTATTTCGAACTTGTAATTGGTTCTTTTGTCTTTGTATTGTTCGATTACGATCTCTTATGTAAGTGTCGTATGGCTTATTATTAATGATTTTTAATCTCCCTCTTCAAAAAAAAAAAAAAGATTCCTTGTAAATTTCATTGGGTATTAATGTATTAGGATTGACATTTTAAATGCAAGAGTGAATTAGGATATGATTTTCGCTTGATTACTTTGACTTGGAGTAATCTAAGGGAGTCAAAACCCTAATCAAATAATCAGTAGTGAGAGTTTGATTAGTTTTTCTATCCAGACTCAAATCACCTTGGAGAGTTTGAAGAGAAAGGGCAAAGAGCATTGTATGAGTAAGAAAAAATGGGGAAAAAAATGATGTTATTAGGAATTAGGATGTACGAAGTATGTACTTGTATGTTATTGTATTTACTTTCAAAAAAACATAATGAATTTATCGAAAATGACTTTTATTAGGTGACATCACATACTTAGCTAAAAAATCTACTCCCTCCGTTCTTAAATGTTTTTTACGTTTCCATTTAGGGTGTTCCTTTTTATTCTTTACATTTAGTATTTTTCCTATTTTAGTCATAAATTTTGGACAAAATTACCCTTGTTTTACAATTTTTTTACTCAAAAGTCCTTACTTTTTCATGTGATATTGTACTTTTTGTACTATTTTAATAGTTTTTCAACACTTATTATTACTTTCTCTCTCCTCTCTCCTCTAATTTCTTCACCCCACATGATCAACATTGTATTTATCAATAAAATTGTACTTTCAATCATTGAAATATTCCAATATACCTCAACTTTACACAATTTTTTAATAACCGCGCATAATTCCAAACGTAAAAAACATTAGGGACGGAGGGATTCAAGAAGCTCAATTACTTTAAACAACCTCATCAAATTATTCCATAAAATTGGTTAAAGACATACTTCATACATATAAGTATATATAATTCACAATTAAATTAATCATCTCAGGAGGACATTATAATGATTAATTTTGTCAAAAAAAAAACACACACACACAATACACTATCTACTATCATCACACTATGAAATAAAAAAAATGATTGTATTGAGAATATCAACTAATTTAAGTAAGATAGTTTATCGATGACCGGAATCAAATCCCGTCCTCTAATATACGACAAACAAAATGAGAAAAGGGAGGGAAATCTATCATATGAATATATAATTGATAAATAATAAATAAAAATCATTATATTCTCTTAATAATATATAATTCCAAATTACCAAGAATAAATAATAAAAATCAAAATGCCCAAAATACCCACCAGCTCATAACGAGCCTTATTCTTTTCAGCCTTTGACCTAAGGACAATTCCTTTATTGCCCTTCCCCTTGATCAACCTACCCTCACTGTTGACTTTCAAGTCAGCTTCTACCACCACTTGATGACGGTGTGTCTTCCAAATCGTGTTCTTGAACCTCACCGCGGTCTTTAACTCCACCTTAAACACGACCGGTGTCGTATCATTTTCCAATTTTACCCCTCCTACATCAAACTTCCCATGACGATGAGTACTCTTAAGACGACCTTGGTAGAAGGGCGGGAAAGTGTAATTTCTAATAGAATAATTCTTAGACATGTAATAAAACGTGACATCAACGGTATCATAGAAAATTCCCTTGTTATGATTTTTGTTATTAAGCTTTAGGTCGTAGGAGATCGTAGTAGTGTTGTTGTAGTGGCTAGTGTTGTTGTGACGGGTGACATTATTGGTATTTTTTATAAGGGTAAAAACGTCAAATTCCTCGATGGAACAAACGGGTTTTGAGGTCCTTATTATGAGAAACCAAAATAAGATAGCGCTTATGGTTACGGGTGATAATTACACCACAACAACCACCTTTATTACTAGTAAAAAAATTTTGGGCTGCCATTGGTTTTTGGCTAGGCTATCTATCTAGTTTGTGAAGGGGAAGAGGTTTTTTACTCTCTAGGTTTGCTTCAACTATTTTTGGTAAGATGAAATATAATAAGCTTCAAAATGTCATATACTTTGCTTTTTTTGTTACATAAAATATTTATTCTTTCGTACAAAGAGGGTGATACCAATCTTGCTAATGTTATAATAAAAGAAAACTTAGAAATAAAGAAAGACAAAAGGAAGAAAGTGTAGTTAGTGAATTTTTAATAGTCTTTACGCTTCCAACAAGATCAACATGTTACATGTGTATTTTTATTTTTATTTTTATTTTTTAGAATTTTTTTCTCAAATCCTTAAATTTATATCACCTAATAAATACGGAGTATAGATAAAACACTCAAATAATTGTACATACATTTTGAACATCCAACTATTAGCATGATCTGAGAGTATAATTTGACAAATAAGAATATGTGATTATTAATTTCATAAAATAAAATGTACTTCTTATATCTTACTTACTCCATATAAAATTGTAAATATCATATAGTGAGACACATTTGTTTATTTCTATAAGTTGCACATTTAAATCCCGGGCAATGTCCGAGTGTTCTGCATTATTTCCATGATAAATTTTTTTATTAAATGACATGATTAATTTTTTTTCTAGCTTATAGAACTAATAATAATAAAACTTAAAGAGAGAGGAGTTTTGTGGTTGTTGCACCCGGGTGCATGGTGCACCCAAAAACATTTAGTATATTTAAAAGAACATGGGTAAAAAATGAACATATTTTTATTTTCTTGCAACTGCAAATCCATCACTCTCTTCTCCTGCAATTTCTCACTCCTCTTTCCCTTCCAATCACTCTCTTTCTTGCTGCCAATTTTTACTCTCCTTTACACCATCGTTTTCATTTAAGAATTTCAAAAAATATGGGTAAAAATCATTTCCAGAGTACTCATTTTCTCTCTCCATAACTTTTCTCTCTATCTTTTTCTATTTTTCAAAAAAATTTCAAAATAGCAAAATTGTTCATCTTCAAAGTAAACCCAAGAAAAAAATTGAACTTATTTCAACAATTCAACCTTCAAACTTAGATAAATGGTGGATTCAAGTAAAATGTAAGTATAAATTTTGTACATGCAGATTGTTTTTCTTCAATAATTTTAAAGTTAAAGTGTTTAATTTTGTGAATTTGGGGTTTTTTTTTTAAAAAAAAAATAATTAAAACTATAAAGTACAAGTTGTTCAAAAAAGAACAATTAGAGGAGAAAGAAGAATAGTAATGAATT